TGGAAGATAAGTTAGGTAGAACTCTTGAAGACACTGGCATAGGAAAAGACTTCATGAAAAAAACCTCAGTAGCATGGGAACTAGCAGAAGGAATCAACAACTGGGATCTCATCTTATTAAAAAGCTTCTGCACTCCAAAAGAAACCACCAGCAGAGCTAACAGACAACCTACAATATGGGGAAAAAAATTTTAGCAGCTGTACCTCAAAGGACTACTATCTAGAATATATAAAGAATTGAAAACAATCAGACTCCCCCCCCAAATTCAAAGACCCAATTCAAAAATGGGCATCTGAAATAAACAGACATTTCTCAGACAAAGAAGTAAAAGCAGCAAGCAAATATATGAAAAAATGTTCAACATCACTGGTCATTTGAGAGATGCAGATGAAGACAACACTGAGATTCCACCTCACCCCAGAAAGAATGGCTGCTATCAAGAAATCAACCAATAACAAATGCTGGAGGGGGTGTGGAGAGAAAGGAACCCTTCTCCATTGTTAGTAGGAATGCAGACTGGTGCAACCACTGTGGAAATCAGTATGGAGATACCTCAAAGAACTAGGACAAGAGATCCCATTTGACCCAGCTATTCCCCTGCTGGGTATTTTCCCAAAAGAATTAAAAGAATGATACCAAAGTGATACATGTGCACCCATGTTCATAGCGGCACAGTTTGTAATAGCTAAAGCTTGGAAGCAGCCCAAGTGCCCATCAACTGGAGACTGGATTAAAAAAATGTGGGTTGTTTTTTTTTTTTTGGTACCGGGGATCGAACTTGGGTCCTTCCGCTTGCAAGGCAGGTGGTGGAACCACTGAGCTAAATCCCCGGCCCAAAATGTGGGTTTTGTAATAAAATGGACTACTACTCAGTCATAAAGAATGAGAAACTAGAGTCATTTATAGCTAAATGGATGCATATTGAAGCCATACTCTTAAGTGAAATAAATAGGACACACATGTGTAAATACCTAATAATTTCTCTAGTGTGAGAAACTGATAGTGTAAACAAGGGTTAAAATGATTAAAATGAATAATTGATAATTTGAAATAGGAAAAATGGTCCAAAGATGAAGGGGTGAAGGGAGGGGAAGGGGAAAGGAAAAGAGGGAAAGGAAAAACTATGAGAAAGGGAAAAAAAATGGAAATTATGTCTATGTAATTAGGGAAGGGTGGAGGGGGTAAAGGGCGCACAGGTAATAGGGAAAAAAAAAAGAACCAAGATACATCATGTACAGGTACACCCAATGATAAATGTAAATGAATGGTATACCTAATGCCCGGCTCAGACACAGATTCTTTATGGTACGAATGCTTCAGGAAAAGGAAAATTTTAACACCAGCAATAGAAAAAACAAAAATGACTTGTCATGTAGAAGGGAACTCCATAAAGTTTAATAATAGGCATGTGATCAGAAATGAAGGCCAGAAGGCAGTGTGATGGCATATACAAAAAGAAAGAGCTCTTAAAAAGTCTTATATTCAGTAAAATCATGTCTCACAAATAAAAGTGAAATAAAGACATTTCATATAACAAAAACAAAGAGGACTCATTGTTTACAGACTTGCCTTACAAGAAATACTAAAGGAAGATCCTCCTGAAGCCTCATGACCCTATATACTAATCTGAATCCACACTGCGGTGATACATGTAATTACATAATTGTGAATGGGTGTAAATCAGTATTTCTTCTTTTCTTAACTTATTTAAAGAGTAATTGCATAGAATAGTATTATATAATTGTACTGATGGGCATACAGCACACACAAATGTGGCATTTTTAACAATAACAGCACAGTGGAGGTTACATGAGAACAAAGGAGTTCTGGAGTGAGAAAATGATACCAGATGGTAACTTGAATCTACTGGACCAGAAATGGTAAATAAGAAGGTTACTGTAAGAAAATCTATGACTGTGTACTCTTCCTTTTCTTAGTTTCTTCAATATACATACAATTATAGAGGGTAAGGTAGTAGTCAAGATGATGTATTATTAGTTAAGATATATATATATACACATATATGACAGAGATAATATGTATAAAATTAACAGCACAAAAGGAGAAGATAGAGTCATTTAGGAGTAACTAAATAGCTCATTTAACTAAGTTAGTACAAATCTGAAGTACACTGTGATAAATGAGCATGGAGGAATACATCATGGCTGACTAGAGACAGAGGTGTGCAAGGGAAGTTTCAAGGATAACAAGTATTCTGAAATTGAGGAGGCAAGCATACTCAAGGATACATAGAATCAACATGAAAGAGAAATTCACTAGATTGAATCCAATACTAGAGCGATCGAGAAAGGGAAATGGGACAACCACTTGTCCACAGCAAACTTTACCATGCAAACACACCGTCTTGGGAGCGATTCCACCATCCCAAGGGAAGGAGTCAGTAGTTTTGCAGAGATCGGACTCAGGGCAGATTCCCACATACTGTCCTTGCCACTGGAAAGGGGAACCCAGTGTGGGAGAAAATTGCAGATAGGGCTTGAGGGACCCACAGATGCAACCAGTGAAACACAAGGGAGAAAGTGAGTGTCAGAATCACTAGAATAGGCAACCCCACCTCCCTACCCTCCCAAATACTGGGGAGCTGCCTGTCCCTGTGACATCCTGCTCACTGTCCTACTCTGAGAAGAATGGCTATCATCGAGATATCAAATAGTAACAAATCTTGGCAAGATTACAGGGGGAAAATGAGCCCTTTGACATTGTTGGTGGGGATGTAAACTAACACAACCACTGAGAAAATTAGTGTGGAGATTTCTCAAAAAACTAAAAGTAGACATCCCATTGGACCAAACTATTCCCTTTCTAGGTATCTTCCCCATAGTGTTAAAGACCTCTTACCACAGTGATACGTGCTTACCCATGTTTATAGCAGCACAACTCATAATAGTTAAATCTTGGAAGGGCCTATATGCCCATCAAGAGATGACTGGGAAAAGAAAACGTGGTATTTATATACAATAGAATGCAACTCAGGCAGAAAAAAGGATAAATTTGAATCATTTGTAGGAAAATGTATCCAACTTGAGACCATAATATGAAGTGAATTAAACCAGATGCATAAACTTACATATCATATTGCTTCTCTTACAGGAGTAAACCAAGTATAAATAATTCAAGGGCAAAACAAGTGATGAATAATAGGAATTAGAGAGATAAATCATTTGAAAATGGGAACGGGATCTAGAGATGGAGGAGGGTGGAAAGAAAGGAAGGAAAGGGCAAGTAAAAAGCATTAAGATGTGTTATGTACATGTACCTCCTCTCCACAATGAAAGCGATTGCTAAGTACTACAAATATGAACTAATAATACATTTCTCATTTCTCAGGCCTATGGTAAGCCATAGTGCACCCACTAAGAAAAACAAAAAAAATAAGTTATCATGAATATATTTGAATTACTGCACTAGAAAACATTCACTTAATGTAAAAAAGAAGCAATAAAGGAAGAACAAAAGAATAGTAATAAGAGGATTTAGCTCAGTGGTTCCGCTGCCTGCTTCGCAAGCACAAGGACCTGAGTTTGATCCCCAGCACCAAAAAAAAAAAAAAGAAGAAGAATAGTGGGAAGAAAAGACATGTAGAAATAGAAAGTTAAACATAACTGTCAAAAATAACCTCAAATGTTAATGGGTTAAGCAATCCAATCAAAAGGAAAGGTATTGTCAGCCTGAATTCAAAACAAAGTAAAACAAGATCCAACTATAAGCTGTTTACAGAAGTGTACTTTAGATTTAAAAATATAAATAAATTGAATACAAAACAATGGCAAAGGACACAGCTTGTGAACAGCACAGCAACCCTAAGAAAGTTGCAATGGCTACACTAAGATCTGACTAAATTAATAAATAAATAAAATGTTACCAGAAATATGAGCGTCATTTCAAAATGACAAAAAGATAATTTAAACAGAAAAAAATGTATAAATGTACATACACTTAAATCCAAAGCCCTCAAATGCATAGAGAGCTGATATTGAAAGTAGAAAAAGGTCATTCAACAATGATAGGGATGTTGACTTTCTACTTTCAAAACTAAGGAGAAATAGGCCAAATGTTATCAAGGAAATACAAGCCTGGACCTACAGCATAAAACAACTAGGCCTAACAGGCATACATAGACAACAACAGAATACACAAAAACAATAGAATACTCTTTAAGTGCACATAAAACATTCTTCAGGACAAACTATGTGCTGAGCTATAAAAGGCCTCAATGAGTTTAAAATTATTGAGATTACATAAAGTATGTCCTCTGGCCACAATGAAGGAAAATTTAAATCAATTGTAAAAATTTGAGAATTTGTGCCTACTGCTAAATAACCATTGGGTCAAAGAGAAATTATGAGATATATTAGAAAATACTTTTGACATGAATGAAAATAAAAATAGCATTCTGAAATTAAGAAAAACACTGGAGAAAACCAACAAAATCAAATTTTGGTTCTTTAGAAAGGTCACCAAAGCTGGCAAGCCTTTATTTAGACAGACCAACTCAAAAAGAGTAGATCCAAATTATCTTCACTGACAAACCTGAGAACGCTACCTTCTACATCATCATGTTTATTACCATTAACTGTATGTACCTGTATGTGTGCCAGCTATGTTGAAAGACAACTCAGTTTTGTAAACAAAACCCACTCTAAATTCAATTTCAAGAACTAAGAAATGTGTCATTTCGCCCTAGTTAGCTCCTTTCCCCGCTCTTGCTCCAGAAGCCTCCTTCCCCAGTGTCAGGGCCCATTGCCCATGACACAGCTCTTACTTTTCCTTCCCATTCAATTATCCAAAAAAAATAGATCTGAGATCAGTTATTTACACATTTGTTGATGGAAAAACTGCCCCTTCAAGTTCATTCCCACAAATGCATACTATGAAATGTATTCTGTCTGAATTACCCAGCTGTGACATGAAAGGATTTTCCTTTTTTTCCATATTAAAGAACATGAAACCTTCATGCAGTGACAGGTCACCAATGGACATAGTGCTGGACACAAGTAGTTTATTTTAGAAAATAAATTTGATCCTTTGCCCAAAATGGAGGAAGAATTATGGTAAACTAGATACTGCCCTGGGAGTGATTTTATTATTTTTGTTATGTTTGTCTTTTGTGTTCTTTCGGGGGAGATAGCAGCCACCTGCAGTTAAACCCAGTAATAGTCCCTTACTGCTCAGGACCAGAGAGACAGACACCTGTGTCTGTTGGGACAATGTTTACCAAAGGAGTGCCATTTGAATGGCCATGCCTGAAAGGATTCAGACCTAGTCTTACATCTCCAAGTGAGGCTACGCCTGCAATCCATGTATGCACATGTGTGAGAACGCTGCTAGTCTGTGGGATATAAAATTTCAGACCCCATTTTTTCTACCGTGCTTTACCATTTCTTCACTGGTGAATACTACAAACTACAAAAAGAAAGCATCCAGGGCTCTGCCCACCCTCAGAGGCTGCCGGCTGCTCTCCTCCTGTGGTCCAGGGCTGTGGGGAAAATCCCAACCCTTTCCAGGCAGCACTTTGCTCACTGCCGCGGCCCTAGTCCTTGTCTCCTTGCATAGGACCCCACAGTGAATTCTCTTTGCTTCCATTTTCGGGAATAGCCGATGTAACTTTTATTTATATTATCGTTCCCATTAATACAGGCTCTACTCAACAACCCTAAAACCTCTGAACACATACTTATTCCACCTATCTTTAACTTGGCTCTTTCGCATCACAAAATCCCTCCAAATTGGGCTATGCTATTGAAGTCATCAGTTTTACAACAATTATAACAAGAAATAATATTTATTAATATTCATTGCTTTGTGCTAGGCACTCTATTGCTTTACATAAACTATCTCATTCTGCTACTAAATATATGTTTATATTTGCTAGGAGCATTTGAAATGAATTCAGATAAGGGCATTGTTGGTTATCATTGAAAGAAATTTTTAACATATCAAAGAAGTGAAATCTATAGAATAAAATATTTTAAAGTCTTACAAAGTGTAGAACATTAAATTCATATAGAATACTATTAAACTTATATTTCTATTTATGGAAAATGAAGCTATTCCTGGTATGTTGTATCTACCTTCTTTTTATCCTATTTATTTCTTACACCATTATCAAATTTTTAGAACCCACAGCTTCAGATATGTCAAATAAATATATTAGATTCATATATTGAATAAAATCCTTTAAGAAATATAGGATGTAGGAGTTATGTTTTTGCATTAACTCCACAAATGTGTTCTGTGGAAAACCAGGCTGACATTAATTTTGGTATGGGTACTGAAAAATAACATGAGGCATGATTTATACTAATCTTTCACATTACATTGTTAAGCTCTAGGCTGTTCTTGATCAAAATCCTTATTTTATTATCAAGAATTACACTAGTCTCTGAAGGAACAAATTTTGTGATGAAGGCAGAAAATGAGTGACTATTAACACTGGGAATGTGTTTTTCCTCTCAATATTGATACATGATGTAAGTTCATATTGATAACAACTCTGAAAACTAGTTTCACTTCTATACACAATCAATGAACAGTATGTGCAAAAATATGAATGCTAGCAACAGTGATGTGGATATACAATATGGGGTTTCTCCTGAATGTGCAGGCATCTCTAATATTTCATTACACCATGTGTATAGGCAACTGTCACAAATGTCCATCAAAGCTGGATTACATGAAGGAAAACAATGTGGGCTATGTGGATGTTCCATAGCTGCAGCTCAGGATCTTCTGCGTCTCATCCAAGGGCATAAAACTACCGTCTTCCTCCTTTAGACAAAACAGAATGAAACAGTTATGTTATTGACAGTCATCTACAGAAGACTGAAAGCCATTTTACATTTTACTGTAGACAGTAAAAGCTAAACATTTCATGTCAAGAAAATGGAAATTGCATAAACATCTTCATGTTCAAGACTGTTCTGTGATGTTGAGCATCTCTGCAATTTTTCCACAAAGTCTACCATAGTTGGATTTTTATGTCAGAATCAATTAGTGCAAATGTCACAGAAACAAATATTTTGAACCAAAATAAATAAATTAATGTTTGAATAGTTCTATTAAAATTTGCATATCCTCTCTAATAAATAAAAAATATAGCTTTAAATCACTATCACTAGTTTCCTGTGCAATAATTACAGATGGATAGTAATGCAAGAGCACAAAACCCACTTCTTTCTGGTCCCTAAATCATATTTACAATTCTAAATATGTCCTTAAATAATAAATATAGAATATTACAAAAGACAACAGCTCTTTTTGACATAATGAATCACATGCATCCCATTTTTAAAAAAGGATATTAAGCTTTTAGTCCAACAACATCTATTTGTGTTGCCAGCCACAAGAGTCAGGTAAATGGACACCACTGTACATGTCTAATGTAAACTGCTCTAATGTAAACTGGTGTCATGTTTGAGACAGTAAATATTCATTGAAATTTAAGATGCATATAGTTTTTGGCATGGAATTATACTTCTAGAAAGTTATAACACAGATATAACCAGCCAATCATACAAATATTTAATGTATAAGGATATTCATTGCAATAGAATATGGAAAAAAATTATAAAATGGAAAAAAACTAAGTAGATACTCTTAGAATGAAATTTTATTTCATGAATTTAGGATAAGGTCTCTAGACCTCTAGTTCTCAAATTATTTATTAAAACCTGTCTTTAATAAATTACAATACAATGAAATACTTTAGAATTATCCATACTCTGTATGGATAAGTATCTCTGTGTTTATACATACACATACATTCAAATGTGTATATATATATGTGTGTGTGTGTGTGTGTGTGTGCGCACATGTGTGTATTTCTGAAACAATGTTAGAAAATATTCATGATGCTGTGGCATTTCCAAACTACACTTCAAAGAAGATACTAAGTCATGATCAAATCTTTTAAAAATTTTTCGTATATTTTAAAATGACAAAATTTTATGTATTTATCACATACAATATGATGATTCAAAATACACAAACACTGGAATGGCTGGATCAAGCAAGACTTTATGAACAAAACCTCATGGGAACTAGCACAAAGAATCAACAATTGGAACTCATCTTATTAAAAAGCTTCTGCACAGCAAGAGAAACCACCAACAGAGTAAAGAGACAACCCACAATGTGGGAAAAAAATTTCACCAGCTGTTCCTCTGACGAAGGAGTACTATCCAGAATACATAAAGAACTTTTAAAAAAATCAGACCCCCCAAATTTAAAGACCCAAGCCAAAAATGGGCATCTGAAATGAATAGACATTTCTTTGATAAAGAAGTAGAAGCAGAAAATAAACATATGAAAAAATGTTCAACATCACTGGTCATGCAAAAGATGCAGATATTGAGATTCCATCTCACTCTGAAAGAATGACTGCTATCAAGAAATCAACCAATAACAAATGTTGGGGGGACTGTAGGAAAACAGGAACCCTGCTCCACTGTTAGTGGGAATGTAGCCTGGTGCAACCACTGTGGAAATCAGTGTGGAGATTTCTCAAAAAACTAGGATTAGAGGTCCCATTTGACCCCGCTATTCCCCTGCTAGGAATCGTCCCAAAAGAATTAAAAGCATGACACACAGCAATACATTTATAACGCATCCATATTTATAGGGGCACAGTTTGTAATAGCTAAATCTTGGAAACAGCCCAAATGCCCACCAACTGGTGTCTGGATAAAGATGTGGGGGTTTTTTTAATAATGTGGAGTACTACTAAGCCATAGGGAATGATAAACTAGAGTCATTTGTAGCTAAATGGACGCACATTGAGGCGATACTCACAAGTAAAATAAGTAGGACACACGTGTAAATACTGAATAGTTTCTCTGGTGTGAGAAACTGCAAGTGTAAATGAGGGTCAAAATGTGTAATAGATAATGTAAAATAGGAAGAGAAGGTCCAAAAATGAAGGGGAAGTAGGGAGGGGGTTGGGGGAAATGAAAGAAGGGAAAGAAAAAATATTAGAAAAGAAGGAAAAAACAGAAACAAAGTTTTTGTAAATAGGGAGGGGTGAAGGAGTGGAAGGAAGGGAAGGGGAATGGGGAAAAAACAAGAACCAAGATACATCACATACAGGTACAGATTCCCAATGATAAGTGTGATCATAATGTATACCTAAAATGTACCAATAAACTTAATGGAAAACAATAGCATATACATTACCTCACATAGTTGTCATTTTGTGGTAGGACTATATTCTATTTTCTTGCATTTTTCAAGAATACAACATATTGTTTTTAACTATACACATCCCTTGAACTCATCCCTTCTAACTTAAATACTGTTACATTTGACCAGCATTTCCCTAAATCCTTCTCTCATCAAACCTTTAAGATTGAGCCTCAAAGATGATTTCAAAAGTAAAATAGGATGTTGTTTATGTACATATTTTGACAATTGTATGCCCATAAATCACAATTAAAGTGACATGAAACTAATGTTGTGTGTGTCTGCGCCTCAATGGTGTCTATATTGTTTAGTAAAGAGATTCTTTTTATCCTCTCAGGAGGACACACATCTCTAGGCATACACAGCACTCACAAGTGGATTTTAAGATGTAACCGCCTCTCGAACAGCTTTCTACCACTACAGATGATAGCCCTCTTTCACTCCAACATACAGATCTATCTGTTAAAAATCCTAGGACTTTGAGAGATTCTATCACAGAAACAGGTTTGCTCCTCACATCTGCCATATCCATTAGCACACAACCATTCGCGTCCAGCTTCCAACATGTTATTACTGTTTGTCTCTCCTCTTGTTTTTCCTATCCTTTTGGCTTTGCAAAATTAAAATCTCTTTCCTGATTTTTTTAATGCAGTTTTGATAAAAACAAAATTGTCTATATTCAGTTGGTTATTGCTTGCAACATAAATTATTTTTTATGCATTATATGTATTTTCTAAATTTCCTCCAAAAATTTTAGTATTTCTTAATTAGAATATACTTCTGTTAGGTAAAACAAGCTAAAGAATGACACTTTGGAGCTGGCAGTGCAGCTTAGTAATAGAGTACCTGCCCAGCATGCATGGGTTCAATCTGCAGCAGACAGAGAGAAAGAGAACAAGAAAGGGGGGCAGGGGAAGGGTGGACACTGAACAAACAAAGGTAATCCAGCCTTGTCTTCCAAAATCTTACCTCATTCTGAACAGGGAAGATTAAAAATAAAGTGAAACTTTCTATTAAGCAATGATCATTGTTCACAATGATAACCTTGAAATATGGCTGCATGCTAAGGAGTTTTCTAAACTATCAGTTATTTCAATAAATTATAACAGATGTTACCATTCACATGACTATTTTGAACCTTAAGTTATTTCCTAGGAAGAGACCCTAGGGAATAAGTGCAAATCAAATCTCTATTTGGGAATTTCCTGAAAAGCTACTGAACATAAAAAAGGATGTGTGTGACCACATCCTACTCCTCAGGGGTGCTGCCGGTCCCAGGCTGACGTGATGTCCCCTGAGTGTGGCTCAGCTAACTGATAAATGTTAAAGCATCTCTCCTTAAGTACAGCAATTCAGTGTCAGCTCTGCAAAGGAAGCACCTGTTAGGACGTATGCTAGAAACAGGGAATTTCACAGTGATCTCTTCCTCTTGATCTAGTGGTCACCTCTCTGGGGCAATTTGCACAGACTGCTGATTTACCCCCAATACTAAGCTGGGCTCCTTCATGGAGAGTCTCTGCTTAGCTATAAACAAACAGAAAATTTAAAATAGGCATCTTTCCTTTATAAGCAATGGCTTATAGCTGTCTTCTTTTTCAATAGTAACACATCATTTCATTAGAAAGGAAAATAAACAAAGGAGAAAGAGAAAGGAAGAGTCAGTAGGGTTAAATCCTTTTGAAGATTCAAAGGAAAGAGTGGCAAACAAGCCACTAAGTACAGAAATAGAAACCTGACCATATCAGAAATAAGAAAGAGGCACCAGATGGCACAATTACTAATTTATCATTATTCTGGAATTATTCAGTGGTGCAATAAAACAAGAAGTATTGTGTTAAAATTAAAAAGGAGAAAAATTGTCATCAGTTACAGATGATATCATGGTTTATCTAGAAAATTCAAAATAAGCAATTAAAATCTACTGGAGAAGGGGAAAGAAAAGGAGGGAAAGGAAAAACTATGAGAAAAGAGAAAAAGTGGAAATGAGGTCTATGTAAATAGGGAAGAGTGGAGGGGGTGAAGGGCGCACAGGTAAAGGGGAAAAATAAGAACCAAGATACATCATGTATAGGTACAAACACCCAACGATAAATGTAAGCAAATTGTATACCTAAAATGTACCAATAAAAGAACTTAAGAAAAATGAATAAATAAATAAATAAATAAAATCTACTGGAAAGATTTGTAGGAAAGACAGGATAAATCTAATAATTTTTTCAATAAAAAAATTAACCAATTGAAAAAAATACAATGGAAAAGATATTAGGAAACATCAACAATGGTAACACAATAATGACAATAGTTACTGCTTAAATTTAATAATTGTTAACCCTCTGCTTAGCACTGTGCTGTGCATTTAGCCATATCTCATTTAATCCTCACAACATCTCCAGGAAGTTGTGACTTTTAGTTTCTCCTATTTGTAGAAGAGGAAACTAAAGCTGAAATAATACCAACAGTTTGGCCAAGTTAGGGAGCAGCAAGAAGAGGTGACATGTTCTTTGTCCAGCTACACATTGGGCTGATTCCTGAGCCCAAACGTGTCACGTGGAATATATTCAGTGAGAAGAGAGAACTACAAAATGTATGAA